CTATACATTTAATTTTAAATATCAGATTGTATATATTTTTTGTCCTGTAGTTTGTACTGGTTATTATAGATAATAGGCGCTCAAATTATCTCCAGATTTAATTCTTTGCCAGGTGTGCTCATTACAATTTGTAACAGTTTTCTTTCTGTCATTATGAAACATTTAAAGGCAGAAGTTTGATCTGATTATATTTCACTTTCCCTGGATCCTTTTTTCTCATCTCATCAACATGATAACCACATTTTAAAATAAAAGTCATCACTGGGTCTTTGTGTTTCTCTATGCAATGCAGTCAGATCATGGCTGATGGGAAGGGCTGGCAGAATGCTGTACATAGCTTCCTGAAAACATCACAATACCATGCCTCACTACTTCTCTCAATAGTTCTCAGGTTTGATGCTAGCAGTTGGCTGGCTCTGGAGGGAGTTATGGAAATATTAAACTTACTTAAAGTAATTAAACCACTAAGCAGCTCATCCACTCCCTCATCATATCACGACTCAATTACTGCAACTCCCTCCTCACTGGCCTGCCTCACCACAGGCTATCCCCGCTTCAGTCTATCCTGAATACGGCGGCCAGGCTAATCCACCTTACCAACCGCTCCGTTTCCGCCGCCACCCCCCTCTGTCATTCCCTCCACTGGCTTCCGCTTGCCCAACGGATAAAATTCAAAATCCTAACGCTGATGTACAAAGCTGTCCATCATACTGCCCCGAACTACATCACTGAGCTAATATCCAAATACCACCCAAAACGCACTCTCCGCTCCTCACAAGACCTCCTTCTCTCCAGTTCCCTGGTCTCCTCCTCCCATGCCCACCTCCAGGACTTCTCCAGGGCATCACCCATCCTCTGGAACTCCCTACTCCAATCCATCAGACTATCACCTACTCTCCTCTCCTTTAGGTGCACCCTGAAAACCCACCTCTTCAAGGAAGCCTACCCTACCCTCTGCTAATTGCCGATCTCCTCCTCTCTTCCTACCACTCCATCCCCCACAGCTGTCTCCTCCTGTGCCACCATCCCCCTCCCTACTAGATTGGAAGCTCGAAAGAGCAGGGCCCTCGAACCCCTCGTGTATCGCACTGTATTGCTATTGTACTGTCTCATGTATTGTCCCCCTTTGTAATGTACAGCGCTGAGAGAACTGTTGGCGCTATATAAACACTGTTTTATAATAATAATAATAATACTTGTTGGGAAAATGTCAGTCTGGAGGAGTAGTCATTTCTAGGTAGGCTGCAAATGCTTTCAGCCCACACTTGGCATGATTGAAGGAACTGAACTCCAATGAATGAATGGGGCAGGTCAGGGACATTCAGGATAGTGGGAAAGGTTTAGACGATGTTGGATGTCCTCTAGCCAGGAAATGAGACAGACTCTATCTGACTTTAAAGCAGGGCTCCAGTCAAAATTAAAAAAAAATATAAGTCAGCAGATACAAAAACGGTAGCTGCTGAGTTTAAAAAAAAAAAAAAAAACACCCACCTGTCCCTCAATCCAGAGCTGTCCTCACCGCAGCTGGTTTCTCTCCCCAGTGCCGGTATCCTAAGTGTGGGCACCCAGCTTTGACAGCTTGCAGCTTCACAGCCGGGTGCCCACTGCACATGAGCAAGTAGTGCTGCGCCTTCTGAATGGTCCTGTACAGGGGCGGACTGACAACTCATGGGGCCCCTGGGCAATAGGGGATCATAGGACCCCTGTGTCCTTGCCCAAACTCAAAAAAGCCTATGAAAAAGGTACCAGGGGCATCTCATGGGGCCCCCTACTGACCCCGGGCCCTCGGGCAGTGCCCAAGTTTCCAAATGGTCAGTCCGCCCCTGGTCCTGTAGTCTTCTAGGACCTGTCATGTGTCCCAGAAGACTACAAGGACAGAGGGTGGGAGGACAACTTCTGCTTCTGATCACCTAGGCAATCACAGCAGAAGTGGGTGTGGGTACCTGTCAAAATCGGGTACCCACTCCCCAAAAGTGCCAGTGAGGGACGAGGCCTTAAAGCAGAACTCCCTATTTTGGGTGGAGTTCTGCTTTAAGTAGCTTCTAGCACACACTGTGAGAGGCTAACAGTGTGCAATGAAATCAAAGTAAGCTGTTTCAGCTCAGAAGAGGAGTCTTTATAACCGTACAAGTTTGAAGGAAGGGCTGGAGTTCAACATTAATCGAGTCCATGGATGACCATAAATCGGTTACCTTTAAAACTGCTTAATACAAATTAATTACATACTACGCTTAATTAAGTTCTCTTTAAATAAATGCTCATTTCATAAACTTTTACAGGCATTGAGAATGAAATATTAAACATAATTATTATGTGCTTAAACTTGGGCAAAACTAATTAAGTTTAATTAATTGTTTTTGCAGAGTTAATTAATCCTTACTTCCCTTCGTATTCCTTTCCTATTTGTACAGTCATGGAAGGACTCATTAGTCAGAAAAGTTAGTCTTCATAGTCAATGGAACATATTTCTGGATATGAAATTCTGTAACCCGGAGTGACCAGGAGATGTTGTGGCTGGTAATGGACATTGCCATGTCATTAATCCTTTCACTTCTGTCTGTTCTTAGCAATGTATCCCAACAATAGATATGCATCTAATAAAGTGGATTATGATTATTTCTACACCACAATACAACACAAGAAATAGATGAGCTAGGAAACAGATAAATGCTTGCACAAACCACAGCAACCAGAAAATATGTTCTTGCATTAGACAAATACCAGCAAGAAGTAATTTGGTGGCTGCATGATATTTTCTCTTACAGGTTGGAAGTCTTGCAGTTCCAACACTAACTTAACAGTCGCTTAATTTTTTTTCCATTATATGTAACACATGAACAACTACATTTTTACTGAAAAACCTCACCTCAAAACCAGTTCGTGCCAGATTGCAGTGCACATTTTCTACACTACATTCAAATGCACTGTGATCTGCATGCAAGTGCCAATGTATTGTTAATGGCCCAAATGCAGATCTCAAATGCAGTAATATGCAGATTGGCACAGCGTGTTGTTGTAACAGTATGCATGCACTACTTTTTTCACATTCTGGTGCGATCTACCCGTTCCGCCATTCGTGGCCTCGGCTGTCAATCGCCGGGTCCCTGCTGGTGGTTACTCACCGGCACCTGGTGATTGCCGAGTATTACCAATGGGGGAAAGAACTGTATGTAAACAATACAGTTCTCTTCCCTGTCAGCTCCTGCAGAGTGCTTTGTATGGCTCTGCATAGCAGAGCCATGCAAAGCAGTGTGCTTACAGTGAAAGCACAAAGTTACCCATTTGAACGCCCGAGATGTTAACTCCTTCCTGCCCAGTGCCATTAGTACAGTGTCAGTGCTTTTTATTAGCTCTGATCACTGTGTTAGTGTCATTGGGGATGTCAGTGACACCAAGTCAGTTCCCCCCCAGTGTCAGAATGCCCGCTGTAGTCCCGCAGTCCCATTATAAGTTGCTGATTGCCACCATTACTAGTAAAAAAAACAAATTCCAGTATATATGCCGCTATTTGTAAACACATGTAAACCAATCAATTTACACATATTGGGAATTTTTTCTTAGCAAAGAAATGTAGCAGAATACATTTTGGCCTTAATTTATGATGAAATTTGATTTTTTTTTTAATTTTTTATTGGACATGTTTAATAGCAAAAAATAAAAAATATTTTTTTTTTTTCTCAAAATTGTCTTTTTCTGTTTATAATGCAAAAATAAAAGACGCAGAGGTGATCAAATGCCATCGAAAGAAAGCTCTATTTGTGGGAAAAAAGGACATAAATTTAATTTGTCAGTTAAAGTAACACAGCGCCGTAACACAAAAAATGGCCTGGTCAGGAAGGGGGGTAAATCCTCTGGAGGACAAGTGGTTAAATAAAATAAAAAAGATGTTATTTATGTCGAAACCCTTACACGCTAAGAACACAACAAGTAACATTAACAATGTAGCATGTGAAGTATTAACAAATATACATACATACTGTAGATACAATGTTAAAATACTGAATACATTATTAAAGAAAATGTGGAACAAACAATAGTGTCAATAAATTCATAAATATAAAAAAAAACTAAAATAAACATTCTAAAACAGTTTCATGTGATCATAATCCCAATAGCCAACTGCACAATGTAGTTTTACTGATACAGTGTGAACTGAATCATGTATGTATGCGTGATTTCGAATTTCCGGGTAGAGAGCGCATGCGCCCACCAACCCGGCTGTGTTGTCACTGACTCCACACATGCCGTTCACCAGGTCCTGGCCAATGATTTATGGCTGGGACCCACCGATCAGAGGAACGAGTGAAAGGAGTGGACAGGAGAGAGCTCTGTGTTGGTTTAAACACAGAGCTCTATACTGACAGCGGTGATGTGTCGGTTTTTGTCTCCCTGGGAATAAAAACTGGCACATTCCTTAGTAAAAGCACCACACAGTCAAGACATAAACACTTTCAAGGCACACAGTTATACCCCTGATCACCCTAGATGTTAATCCCTTCCCAGCCAGTGTAATTTATACAGTGACAGCGTATATTTTTCACACTGTCTACTGTATTAGTGTCACTGGTGATGTCAGTGTCAGTCAATGCCCAAAAAGCATCAGTTAGTGTCAGATTACCTGTCACGCTATCACAGTCCCGCTATAAGTCGCTGATTGCCACCATTGCTAGTATAAGACAATAAATAAATAAACATTCCAGTATATATACCATAGTTTGTAGACGCTATAACTTTCACACAAACCAATCAATATGCACTTACTGGGAATTTTTACCAAACACATGTAGCAAAATGCATTTTGGCATTAAAGTAATACTAAACCCAGGACCCTGCATTCACTATACCTTGTCTTCCACAGTACACACAACATGAAAATGAAATTATTTTAGTAAATATAAACTGCTAAATACCTTTACTCATCAGCAGTTAGAGCAGTCTTGTGACTTCAGCAGAGTACTGGTTATAGCTTGTAGGAGGAGTTTTCTTTCTGCTCTAGGAGGATGTGAAACCTCTGACCCTCTGTCTGGACAGTGCTGATTGGCCCTGTGCTGACCACATGTACCCTCCCAAGAAAAAAAAAAAACCTCTTTAGCGATACACACCAAACTGAGCATGTGCATGTGACCACGGGTTCAGTCTGTATCAGGTGGTCATTTCAACAAGAAGAGGGGCAGAGAAGAAAGGATCAAACAGCCTTTTTACATATTGCAGAGGATTTACCCCTTAGGTTCCACAGTGAGTATAACAAGCATGCTTTATTGTATATACAGGCTGATTTTACTGTTGTGAGGTTTAGTAACTGTTTAATTATGAAGAAATTTATTTTTTATTCAATATGTTTCATTTATATAATTAAAAATAAAAAAACCCAGTGGTGATCAAATACCACCAAAAGAAAGCTCTATTTTTGTGAAAAAAAATGACATAAGTTTCATTTCTGTACAGAGTTGTATGACCGCTCAATTGTCAGTTAAAGTAGTGCAGTCCTGTAATGCAAAAAATGTACTGGTCATGAAGAGGGGTAGAAGCTTCTGGAGCTTAAGTGGTTAAATCCAAATAAAGGTGATGAAATTCAAGCCCAAAGTAACACCCACTGAGATCTCAATTAGTAGTGACCTCCTGCAATGATATCTCCACCTCTCCATTGGTTGGAATCTCACTGGCAACCAACGGTCTTTCGGTTGCTCCTGTGCAGTGCCTTTCTGGCCAAGGAAGATTAATGAAGCTTTGTGAAAGATATGTATATTTTGTTGTCTGTGAATGTGAGTATATTTGTTATATTTTAATAAAACTGAGTTAAAGTGTTACTAAGCTCTGGACCCTGCATCCACTTTATCTGGTCTCCCACAGTACACAGAACATGGAAGTGAAATTATTTTAGTAAATATAAACTGCTAAATACCTTTTCTCATCAGAAGTTAGATCAGTCTTGTGGCTTCTTTCAGTGTCCAGCAGAGCACTGGTTAAAGCTTATAGGAGGAGTTTTCTTTCTGCTCTATGAAGATGGAAATCCCCTGACCTCTGTCTGGACAGTGCTGATTGGCCCTGTGCTGATCACTTGCACCCTCCCAAGATAAAACAAAACCTCTCTAGCAATATACACCAAACTGAGCATGTGAATGCCTACAGTTCAGTCTGGAGATAAGTGGTGGTCACTTGAAAAAGAGATGGAACAGAGAAGAAAGGATCAAACAGCCTTTTTGCACAATGCAGAGGATTAACCACTTTGGTTGCACAGAGAGTATAACAAGCATGCTTTACTGCATATACAGACTGATTTTACTGTTGTGGGTTTAGTAACACTTTAACTATTTTATATTATGGGAGTTTATTTCTTCATCTACTCCATCCATCCATCTGGGAGGTAAGAATTTGACGAGGATAAAAGTAGAGGAGGATTGTTTTGCTTCTGACACACATTTAAGGGGATTCCCATCAGAAGGAAGGAAATAAAAACTATATGAGCCTAGTCTGTAACAGGACAGGCACATACTTTTGGTGAGTGAGTTTCCTATGAAGAGATGGAGGTATGGAGTACAAGAGGTCACTACTAATTGAAGACTCGGTGGGTGTTACTTTGGGATTGAAGTTCATCACCTTTATTTGGATTTAAGATTTTTTATCACACTGTTTTTTAGAACTCTTATTTTTGGTTTTCTGTATTTATTCATTATAGGTACTTATATAGCGTCATCAATTTAAACAACACTTGTATATATACATTCACATCAGTCCCTAACCCCCAAGGAGCGTAAAAGCTAAGGTCCCTAACTCACATTCATACATACACATACTAGGGCTCATTTAGACAGGAAGCAACTGACCTACCAGCATGTCTTTGGAATGTGGCAGGAAACTCGAGTACCTGGAGGAAACCCACACAGGCACAGGGAGAACATGCAAACTCCAGGCAATTGCTGTCGTTGGAATTTTATGAATCTATTGAACACTATTTTGTACAGTTCAACAGTTTATTTAAAGTGGTAGTAAACTCCGCATTTTGATTTTTATCTACAGGTAAGCTTATAATAAAACTTACCTATAGGTAAAACGAATATGTCTTGCACCACGTGCACCTCTTAGGATAAATTTTAGTAAACAGCAGTCAGTGACATCACTGGTGCTTGCAACAGCATACCTGTGCCATTGCTCGGAGCTGTGTACAGTGGGTGAGACTCCCACGGGCATTGCGTGAGAGTGGGGTCATTGCAGTTTGAACATTCAGGGCTGCTGTTAGAAACCACAGGGCTACATACAGCCACGCTGATAGAGCCCCCAAATAAGCACAGTTTACTATGCTTCAGTTATTATTGTGCACAGTGAGCGATCGGTAATGATCACTCATTGTGTTCATTCAGAAAAAGGAAGGGACTGGTAAATGTTACATATTTACTTGACCCTTCCCCCACTCTCCATCCTGAAGGATCCTATTGTATGCTGGCAGCTTCCAGTGGGAAGGAGAGGAAGGAAGCCAGTAGCACTTTGGGGATGGAAGACACACAGGGGGAAATGTATGGTGCTCAGGGAGGGTGATGGGTTATGGGTGCGGCTGCAGAGCAATTACTGAAGCTGAAAGCCAGCAGGATACAGAGGAAAAGAAGCAAGCCTTCAGCTGCTGCAGAGAGAGCCATACAAGGAATCAGTTCCAGTAATTGCCCCTCCCCACCCACTGCCTTGCTGATCACCCTCCCTGCCCACATCCAATTCACCCAGTTTCCTGCTGTCCTGGGACCCATACAGGAGGACTTCCCTTATCCACGTCCCTGGCCGCAGCCCAAAAACCAAGCAGGAAGACCGGGTGAACATGGACACCCCTTCAGTGGTCACAGTGCACCACTAGGGGGCTTTATTTCTTGGTAAGTCTTTCATAATGTGCTGTGCGTACTAGCACCTTATGATATTGCCTTGCAGGAGGAAACATTTTTTTCAAAGGGTTTACTACTGCTTTAATCATTTATTCAACATTTCAACATTGTATCTATGTATGGATATTTGTTAATATTTCATTTACATTGTTAATTTTATCTGTTACAAGCTGTGTACTGGTGGGAGATTGTGAGATTAACTGTCTTCACATACTGAGATATATACAGTATAAAAAAAGATGTTATACTTACTCTGTGTGTTTGACTGCCAGCAGCAGGAGCCTATGGCTCCCATTGCTCTCAGTGTTTCCTGTGAGGCCAAAAAGTGAGGGGAGCTGTGCTGCAACCAAGACAGGGCTAGAGCCATTACAGGACTCAGTGTTTAGGAACAGGGAGCTAAGTGTTTAGGAATGGGGGTAGGTAGATTAGGTATTTTTTTCACTTTACTACAGAGAATGCATTAAAGTAAGAAATATTTTAATTTTAGAACCACAAATGTAAAATGTACTGTAATATGTAGCATTGACTCTCTTAAAGTCCTGCAATAGGTAAAACACTTGGTCTCAGGCTATACTGATTTGTTTAAGAAGTTATTCTGAAAAAAAAATGTCCAAAGGCTTATAGAGTCCCTAGAAGCAACTCAAAAGGATCATACTTACAAAGAGACAATTTATCGCTATGCTTTTTTGATATCAAACTAATACAGCTGAAATTGAGTAAGACCTTTTCACCACTGATATGAGATTAAAGCTTTATTTCTATCGAAACCGTCCCCATATAGAAAGCAGACATCTTGATCTTTTTGTCCTATTGATCCTTATGTACAGAAAAAGCAATAATAAAAGCAATCATTGGTATTTTTATGTATATTATGCAAAAACCTTATGTTCATTATTAAGCTCACATGTTTTAAGGTTAAAAACCATTTTGAGTTTAGAAAAACTATAAGCATTGGCACAAGCACCATGAATGATTGCCTTATTGTTTGTAATAAGAATATATATCGCCTTAGAACATCATCTCCTTCTAGTGGCCATAATGAAGAGTTTTCCCGAAATACTTCAATTAAAAAAATACTGCATTATGGCCGCTAGGTGGCCTCATAGGCTTTCAAGCTTTAATAAACCAAAGCCATAGAGCTATGAGACAAACTGCACAATACTAGAGATTGGGATAGGAAAGGAGTACTGTGGTCACAAGGTGCTAGGTTTTATTCAAAGGAAAGACGTTAAAAAAAGGCAAAAGTATATTGTGAAGAAGTAGAGTTAATGTCCTTATAAATGTCTCAAATTCAGCCATTGCAAACTTTCACATGCAATCACTGTAGGCATTTAGACAGCTGCAGAGCCCATAATGCAATAGCCATCAATGGAGATCCCTCTACAGTTAGAATGGACAGGGAATTCATTGTTTTGAAAAATAAACCATGTATGGCAGCCTTTAGTAATTGTACTAAAACCTTAGTCTCACAAGAGCTTTGTTATGTCTTGCCTTTTACATTTTTTTCACATACTTAGTATAAATTCAGCCATAGATGAACCGAAATTTGGCCAGTTCAGCAGGGACCAGCCACATTTCAATCTGTCTATGGGTAGACTGGTTGTAGGGAAGTTGATCTCTCAACTGCGGTATGTCTAACAAATAGACAAAACATGCAGACAGAATATTTACTACTTACCTTTTATTATTATAAAACAAGAACAAGATGGTTAATGAATACACCCTCCAGAATTGGTTATTTCATTGGTTATTTCACAGTCAAGTAGACTCACATATTGAAGAAAACTGGTCACAAAATAAACCTAGGAACGGCCATTGCCAACATCTCCTTTATGTGCTGATGACAGCACACATTGTACCTTACAGCTTTAATACTTTATGTTATTGGCCTGGAATAAATAAGAAGATTAGGACTTCTTGAGCTGTATACTTGTTCCAAGCCAATGACTAAGGAAGTAGTTAATGGGTCATTATAACAGCAGGGCAACTAAAATTTTAAGGAGGTCAACTCCATTATGTCTCTCATGTGGAAAGAATTAACCTGAATGGTTATACTTTTCCACTGGGTCCCAAGCCCTACTACATACAAGCTATGATTTCTATAATTTTAGGCTAAATTTACCCTATACACCTGCAGTTTTGGGTCTGCATCTGGTCAATGAGGCATAAAGCCATGATTTGCTTGGCTCTTGACCCACTTTCCCAAAATGAGGAATAATCCTTTTGTTTTTTAGATATTTGATGGAAGAAGACATGTAAATACTTTCTGTTTTAAGAAAACTTTACTGTACTTTGCACTGATTAGATTAGAGTGAGGGCTTTTTGATTGCTTTAGTCTCTTCTTACCCTAACTGGTGTGGTTATACTGTCTCATTTGGTCCCAAGCTCTACTCCATTGAAGCCATGGTTTCCATTCACAGTGTACTGATGATGGCCAAATAGCCACAAACAGCTATACAAGGTTTGAATTAAATGGCTCTATAATATTATGCTATATTTGCACTATACACCAGCGGCTCTGGATGTCCATCTGGCCAGAAGGATGAAAGGTTATAATTTGCATGACTCCACCTACTGTCCTGAAATGAAGAATAATTCTCCCTTTTTGGTATATGTGATGGAATGAGACAGGTTTTAAGAAGGCTTTACTGTGCTCTTTTGTGTGTAGATGAGAAGGAAAGTCATAGGGATAACATTTTTATTTGTCACAATAAAAGGTCCATTCAAGAGTTGACAACCAACACATTTGGTGAGTAACACACAAATCCCATTTTTGAGAGTTTTTGCTTCAAACTTTTGCCTAATACACTATGATCATTCCTTGTAGTTTCTATTACAATTTACAAATTGTACTTGGATAAAGATTTATTATTTTTGTGGCTGTTTTTTTTAAACAATAGTCCATCTAGTGATAGTATGCCTGACAGTACAATTATCACAAGTGCAGGATAACAGCTAAGATAAAAAAAGATTGCAAAATAGGTCCATGGAGCATTCACTATTTTTTTACTTTCTGGACAAACAAACATTTTCACGGACAGAAAAGAAGCATCTTTGCTATGTATTGAGCAAATGTATGTGCCACCATAAATGTATACAGTTACAAACAACACAAAGAAACAAGGTCTATCAACATGGTAATAATATACTTTCAGTTAACCAAATCATATTCACATATTTCTAAAAATAAAGCCAAGGACAAGGGATTGTAAGGCTGGTTGAGCAAACACACAGTATATTTCCAGTGTGAATAGACAACACCAAGGAAACAATTTAAAAGAGAAGTATGGCCAAAGCTTTTTTTTTTGCATACTTCTTATGTGGGTCCACTTACCTTTGCACTCCTGTGACCCAGAATCAGTCAACAGTGGGTTCTGGATGTATCTCTACAATAATGTTGGGATCTACCCAGATGCCTGGCTGGCAACTGGT